ACCGGGTCAAAGATAATATGAACATTCCTAGTTGTTTCCATTAGACACCAATCATAAACATCAACACAAATGAACACTAACTAAATGATAAGCTTCACAAAGACAGGTTTGGATTGCATTACACTTTTTAAATTGTATTTTGAACATGTCTTCAACTGTAACCGCTGCGGTGTTTCTACCTGTGTGTAGACGTTGAGCAGCACCAGGTGGTCTCCTCCTGGCACCACAAAGTTCTGCCTGGCGTTGTCGGCATGCACCACCTTGTCTTTGGGTCGGTAGAAAATAGAGTTGTTCACCGACAGCATGGCTGCTATCGTCAACACTTCCTCCGAACACTTGTATCTGGAAGGAGATGGAGAACAATTCAAAGAAATGTATAAAACTGTAGAGAGAGAAAGCAGAAACAATATTGATAAGCCACCTCTGAAGTACACAAGCTTTTTACTTTGGACTCAAATGCATCCACTCAATAACAATAAACTATTTTTGGAATATTTCTGTTTTTCATATCCAGTAACCCAAATGCATCCTTTTATATAATTTAACAAAAGGTCACAAAGCTACAAAACAAAGGGCATAATAAAAGACTTATTTTCTTATTTCTGGCAGCTCACACACCGGACAGATTTGACTTTCTTTATCTAAAGCAGTTTTTCTCACGTTGATATATTAAGAGTAACAAAAGCTCAAATCTGAATTTATTTTTGATATCACAAAGTAGGCAACATGACTTGTTTAACCATTCCTCCCTAAGAGGTTATCAATCTTAAATTCTTTATTCACAACAAATACCAAGTTCCCCGTTTGCTGTTCATCCAATTTAAATATCATTTTGGTTTGTTTGTTATTATCTGGTAATGCGTCCTGTAAAATATCGAAGGATTATGCTTCTTTATCAGACTGGAGACTTACTGCTCGGAGGCTAGGATCATCTTGCTCAGCATGGGGTCCACCGGGAGCTCAGCCATTCTGCGTCCCAGCTGACGGCAGACAAACACAAACAAACAGATAAGATAAACAATGAAATACTTCATTAGTTCATTAAATAAACAAATACCCGATGAAAGAAAGCAGTGATGCATTCACCAACACTCTCTAAAGAACATCCTCACATATTTGTTAAACACATACAAACAACACAAGCCTGGAAATAACAGCTTCAAGTTGTGTGCGAGGTGTCAGGTGTCAAAAACCTCAGGTGTGCACAGTCTGTCATGCAAATATGTAGATGCTCAGCATGAAGATAGACAATAGATTATTTGTGCAAAAGGTACGTATCTTGTTTGTGTTGTAAAAGTTAAAGGTCACATGTCATGGCCATTTCCACTGATCATAATTCCATTGTTGAGGTATACTAAAATAGAAAAATACTGTGCAATTTTCCAAACTCACATTGGTTTCGCATACAGCATCTCTGTAAAGTATGTGTATTCAGCAGTATTCACTTTCTCCACTAAACGGCTCGCTGCAGCTCCTCCCCCCCACCTCCGTGATTTCCTTCGTTTAGCGATACAGAGCCAAACACAGCCAAACTCAACCTGAAAACACACAAAGTCACAGCCGAAATAAAAACAATAAGTGTGGCTTGATATTGAGTAAGAAAAAGGTTTATAGGTTGATAAACGCTGTGAGAATGGGTCTGCAGAGAGAATTTCACGCGATCCCAACTGTCTTTTATCAGCCTGCAGCAGGGAGCAGAAATCAGCAGGGCTTCCTGCACTGAGTGTGTGTGTGTGGATTGGTCAATTTGGACCAATCAGTGGGGGCTTAACGTAACGGCTCCGCGGACGTAACGTAACGGCTCCACGGATTGGCCCATTTAGTTCCGGGTACATGCTTTCGTAAGCACGTACCCAATCAAAATGGATGATGACGTCATGATGACGTTTCACCAACGAGGCGTTTTGGGGAGGTATTTTCTGTTTTAGAGTTTTACTCGCTACAGGGTGTATTTTGAGGGTTTGTGACTCTGCAGACCGTTTACATGCAGAAAAACATAACACACAAGGGGACGGGTAATAACCGGAAAAGCATGACATGGGACCTTTAAGTATCCATCACAGTTTACAGACACAACATCTGATTCAACTTTGAGTCACTGTGCAAGTCTTTGAATGTAATGGCAGAATTGACCGATCCCTACCTTTACCTCTAAATAAAGTAAGTACGATATCTGTAAAATGACATGGCGCTCGTAAATGAATATGTGCCACATTCACCGATCGGATGAGACTTATGTGAACCCCATGTTATCAATAACTCGATAGAAAATCGGACAAAACCAAAATTACACCCAGATTCAAAGAAAAGACAGTGAAAAAATGTGAATTAGTATTAATATCACTCTGACCGGAATTAGGAAATATATAGCAAAACTACGGTACTTTGGTTGGTGTAGAAGTCACAGTTGGTTAAGGCTAGATGGATTGGGTATCTGTACACAATTGTGTAACATGTGACATAAACATGTGATGAAATAAAATGTCTAACTAGTTTGGAGTCATGATTAATGCATATACGTAAATTGATGTACCAGTAGTTGTAAAAGAGTCAATACAGATTTGGATCGCATTATAACTCAGCGCTAAAGTGTGCTAGCGTCATTCAACGCCTACGCACTGGCAGAGTATGCTGACGCCAAGAAACAACTAAAAAACAAACCACCCGAAGGTACAAAAATCCCTTAACCTGACAGGAGTAACCATTATGTATCGCTTTATACCTGGATTCAAACAAAGGTCGCAAAAAGCCAAATCCTTATTGTATAGGGTGTACAGTATGGGCCTTAACGATTACTTGCTTTAAGTAGTTCCAGGCAACCATCCAAAACGCAAGAGCCAAAAAATCCGAACACGCAAAACAGTAAAACAGAGAGTAACAAGATATAACGTGTTGATAATAACACTTTAGAGGTGTGGAGTAAGGAACTGTTGACATTTGACAGAGCAAGACGTTCCAGCTTGTTTTAATTAAGCAAACCATATTTATATTTACCAACAGCTATGAGAGTGGTAACGTCTCTGTAGAACTCGCCGCCAGAAAAGTAAATAAGTAATTTTTCCCAAAATATTGTAACAAATTGTCTCCAAAATTAAAAAGCGCCTTGTCCATAATCCGAAATAAAGCCCTAAAGAAATGAGCAAAGTTAAAAATGTTTTTTTTTTCCCCCCTTGTAACGTAACACATTAAACCAGAAGACTGTAACATGTAATTGTTATTTGGCTGCTACCTCAATTTTTGTGAAAGACTTTGCAGCACTGCAGTGTCAGACCTAATGGCCATAAGCGAGACTGAGGCTCACCTATTGTGCAATTACCAAAAAAACAAAATGATTAAAACAGAAGGTCCGAGCCACCAAGAAGGCCNGCATCATGTTCCAAACCACATCAAGGATTATTTCTGAAACAGTATGGAGCTCAAATGCTTTTCTCTTGCGGGTTTACCACAAGGTGAGTTCCTTTTTGTGTCCTGCTTTTTTACACAAGTTAAAAAAGTTGTTAGCGAAGTTGTTAGCGAAGTTGTTAGCGAAGTTGTTAGCGATGCTTGCTAATGTAAACAAAGACCATATTATGTCCAAAACACGTTGTGTATCGTTTCTGATAGCAACGTTTCTGTCATATCAGCAGCGAATCTGGATCAGCTCCGTTGTACCCCCGTTTTTAGAGATTTGGGTACGGAGGAAAAGAGAGAGGGTTGTATTTTCTGACACTTTGTGAGTTCCCTGACACACCAGGGACACACATTTATGTAAGACATACAAAAGTGCATTTTGCATGATAGGAGACCTTTAATAACAGGAGGAAAAGGTTTTTTGTTGATGTAATAGTCCTTTTGGCCAAAAGAGGCCACATGTTTTACATAGAGCTAAAAACATTCCTTAAATTTAAGCAATGAATGACATGGCAGTTATTTTAGACAAACAATATCTGTCTTGGCAGGTGTAACTTCCTCAACGTTTTCCACCTGATTTAAAGATGACGAAAAAGGTAGCTTGGAAAAATTATCTGCATAACATTTTTTTCTGTCTGCTTTTATTCACAAAAGTGATTTTTGTAATTAGCCTCTAAGGGCTTTTGTACCTTTGTAAGAGATAGGTCAACATGAAAAGAGTGAGTCTTAGCTTTACACAGATAATTATCACCCGATGCTTCAGCTCCCCTAAGCGTTATGGTGCATTTTAGCCTCTTTCAGCTCTTTGTTTTGGTTTAGAAAACTACCAGTTTTACAGTTTTTGTTTCTGCAGAAAGCAGCCGTTTACATACAATAATACTCTGTATTCGCCCAGCCCAGTAATTCAAATATTGGGGTTAAAAGTTTAGTCTGGGTTCTGGAAAGTGTATAAGAGAAGGTTTTGAAGCCAAAGCTTCACTCGTTCAGTTCAGGAGATTGCTACAATCTACTGCTCCATTGTGGTGCTAATGGGAAAAATATCACAAGGTTTAATCAAAATCAGCTGAGAGAGAGAAGCAAAGTGAATCATTGCGAAAGAGGAAGAAAAGGCAACAATTGAGAGAGTTAATGAAGCATACAAATCTAGAAAATGCAAAGCGAATGGAACTAATTGATGATGAGGTAGGTAGGGTACCTGAGGGACAGAGGTGGCAGGAGGTGTCATGGGGATGCAAAGCCTCTCTTATTATTTTCCAGTCCAGCAGCCAGCTGATTTCTGTTTTAGTTACAGGGCTCAGCAGTGTTTCCTGTCCCTCAGAGTGAAGCTTAAACATAAGGCACACTCTTAAATAATCGCATTGTACCGTGCATTATGATGGATGCGTTCCACGTGGATGCAGAGCTTTGACTTTATCCAACCTTGAGTAAATGCAGATATTGTCTCCAAAATATGTATGTTTAACCGTACTGCCTGAACGCATCATTACATGTCTACAATTCTGCTCTGTGTGATTACTGCATAAGAAGACATGAAAAAGTAAGTTGAATGAGTTTGAAATATGTACAAATAATTTTTGTGTAGTGCCAATTTTTGTCCTACTCTTAAAGGAATGTCATTATTTTTGCATTTTTATGCATTGCGTTGGTCATTAACCAAATTATTGAAGAAAAGATAACTGAATTTCTAGCGGTGCATTTTGTTGTCTAGACATATATGTAAAGACAGAGATGACAATTAAGATATAGATGGAAAAGTAGAAAGAATAAATTAATAACTAATTACTTTATGGTAAGTATTCAAGTATGGCAAAGTGAGAGGAAGATATTGAATGCTGTACTAGGGCAGTATTAACCACTTAAAATTAAAAGATAGGGGACGGAAAAAGGGACTGAAGGATGGCAGAGAAATAAAGGAAACATTTGATGCAAGCACAATGTTCGATATAATATTGTTGTGAATAAGATAACAGAGTAAACAAGTGGTGAGTCTGGGGCAATGTGTGAGATATACAGTACATGTGTGTTGTGCAGAATAAACAGCAGTGAGAAAATGGCCCAGAGTGAGGGATTTCTCAGGCTGAATCCTAATGTATTTAAAGCACATACACAGATACCAGACGCGAAAGGGGAAATGGGAAAGCAGGAAAATGAGGAAAGGAAATGGGGAATACACGGATGGAGGAGGGGATGGCAATTATTTTGTTGCAGGAAATGATGAAGAGATAACAGAGAAAACAGGGAGGGACAAAAACAAGAAAGAAAATGGTACTAAGAGAAATACATTTGTATGTAATAGTATTGCTTGGTGGGATTGAAATGCAATTGTTTTGCGCAAGCCTTTGTTGAAAAATGGCAATAAATTACCCCTGTATTATTAACCTGTATGCCTAACAAAAATACTTAAAAAGTCGCAACATCAAAATGTTTCGATACATTTGAGTTGTTATATAAAGCTGTCAAACTAACTGGGAAGTGTAACTGTTAAACTGCAGCTCAGTTTCCTTCAAATAAGGAATTCTGTATTAAAACCAAATGTCATTCGGAAGCTACTCATTTGAATGGACCAACTCAGTTCTCAAATCTCTTAAAATGTAGTTGCGTTATTAAAAATGAAAACAGCAACAAATAACTCTTTAAATTTACATTTAGTTCTACTTTAGTACAGAGAATCCTTTAAGATTGTAATATCATGCTCATTTTCAGGTTTATATTTGTATTCTGTGTCTCTACTGGGACATGTCTCCCTTCTTTAATGTTCAAAAAGCTCTTTATTTCTCATACTGCCTGTGCTACAGCACCTTTTTTCACCCTCTGTCTGAAACCAGAGCCCAATCTGCTCTGATTGGTTAGCTGTCAGGCTCTGTTGTGATTGGTCAACCGATTAGAGATGTTCCGCCCCTAAGCCTATGCCACAATGTGTTGGAGCGCTTGCCAATAGGAGCGTGAGTGTAACATATGGATGTCACTATGTTACGGAAGTAAACAAATGTCCAATGAAGGTTTTTCAGGCAGGCATTTAAGCCTTTGCAGACCATTTACATGCACAAAAACCTATATTACACACTACAGGAAAGGGATACACCCAAAAGCATAAAAGGGTCCCTTTCAGTTTTAAGAGTACAACCTAATTTAGTAAATCCCTCAACCACCTATTAAGAACTTTGAAGAGAAATAACACAAAGTCGAAAGTGAATCAGAGGAGGGCGAAAAGAAGACGATCAGGAACGGAGAGTTTAATCTGGGTGGATAAAAGCTGGCACTGAGACAGTCTGGAGATGGAGTTATACTGCACCGAGGCTTAACAGAGTCAAGATAAGGAAAAGTGAGATTGGGCAGGCTAGAACATTTAAAATGTGAGAACAAGAGAAGGAGAGAAAAGAGTGTAGCTGGAGGGTGAGACGGACTCTCATTGAGAATGAAAGAGAATAAAAGAGTTTGTGGAAAGTGGAAGGCATGATTAAAAGCCTGTTCCGGGATCCATACAAGCATTAATAAAACATCTAATGCACGTCTGTGAAACTGTTTCTTTCTCTCTCTATTTCTCTCTCATGGAAACTATGTGCTCCTACTGTAATAACAGCTTTTCATTTCACAATTCATTGCGGCAGACGGACGTGACCTCGCTCTCTGCCCCTCATGCATTATAAATACCACATTACAACTTGTTGACTTGCACTCTGGGGTCCTGTGGCATGTTGACGGACCACTCAGCAGACAAAACGAATCAACGACATCATCATTAGGCTGCCTTCACTGATTGGGTTATTTCACCACATCACGTGGCCCCAGCCCTCCGTCTGACCCCGCCGTCTGATGGCTCACTATATCTATTGCAACCAAAGTAAACTGGGTTAAACTAAAAGCCTAATCTAACGCTGCAGATGCCCCGAGGGGCGGCTCCACATCACATAACAATTCGTCTTTCAGCTGGAGTATACCAGGAAGTGTTGGGTGCAGGCAGGCTTCTGATTGGAGGCCTCTGGAGATGTGGTGAAAGCCAGCTGGCAGTGAGCGCAGGCCAGACAGCCAGATCGGAGGGACAATACAATGCTGGCACACACAGTTTGCTCTCGTCTTGTGTCTGTGCATGACAGCATGCGCGTGTGTGTGTGCTATTTTAGACTTACTTTAAGCAGATCCTTGTGAAAATCTTGGCCGTCGTTCAGTCCCTCCAGGTTGCTGATGAACTGCGTGCACGACATCCTCTTACCGATGTTCTGAAAACAATGGAATATTGGCTTTAATTACATACCAATATTTACACACAGTGGTGGAAAAGGTATTCAGAACTCTGTAGAAATATCAAGACGACAATGTGATACTACTCAGTAACAAGTACAAATCATGATTTGTCTATCTTAGTTAAAGTACAACAATATTAGCATCTAAATACTAAAGTACTCTTGATGCAGGATTTATCCTTTTACAATCAAATGGTGTAATCACTGGATTAGAATTATTGATGCATTAAAGTGTTCATCACTACAATGTGCATCTGTTAAATCTGGAGCCCATTTTTTATTATTTGATATACACTGCAGGTTAGTAAGCAGTATAAGCTATAATAATATATCATAATGGAATAAAAGTGAATTGAAAAATACTGTGATTTTATAACAGACACACATTTAAATGGGTTACAACAATGACTGAAATCATGTATATAGTATTTTTGGATTACAAAACAACATCTTATCTTAACTACTTATTCTTCAAAAAAACGAGGTCATTTTTGAAATATTTTCTAGATTAATTGAAACATTTGAAAGAGGATGAAAGTGATGATGATCAGAGTCACCAACGAGATCACACTTACGGTATATCAGTTCAAATTAGTTTAAACTTTCCTAAAGAAGCTGATTTTCTTGAGCCACTTTAATTAATCATTCATCCGCAGAGCTGTACTATCACTGAGAAGAGTGGCCCAGATTTGCACAGCGAGGCTCTGACTATAATAGTAGCACATTAATGATGGTGAGAGGAGCTCAGCAGGCAGACCTGCAGATCAGCTGCTGATCAGGCTTATATTCCCCAAACTCCAGAGTTAATCAAAAGGGCATCTGAGGAGAATTCTGCTCTTAAAAATCACCTTTTATACGTTTTTTTCTTTACCTGAATGCAACACGTGTACATATGTAAGCCAGACATGGATGGATTATTGGACAAGCCTACCTGGCAGAGGCCAAGGGGGACAAAGTTTTAGAGGCCCCACTGGCCTTGACCCGAAAATGTCACTTGAAGACACATGTACCAACGAAGAAGAGACACAAAATGACCACAGAGGAACATATAACAACTACAAACACATGCAAATCAACTGCAAAAAACACAAAATCACCACAAAAGGACTGCAGAGAGATGAGAAGCAACTGAAAAAAGACAAAGTGACCTCAAAGAGACACAAAATGGCTTCAAAGAGACACAGATTGACCCAGAAATTATATAAAAATGACTTCAAATATACACAAAATTAATACAGAGAAACACAAAATGACCCCAAAGACACTCACACTGACTTTAAAGATCCACAAAATAACAATAAACAACACAAAGAGACACAAAATTACCTTAAAAATGAACAGAATGACAGAGACACAAAATACTAAAAGAGGCTAAACAACTATGAAGTGTGTGTGTTTTGCTCCTTTATAGGAAAGGTGGTTGGGTTGTTTATGTGTCTTTGCACGGCGTCAACAGTCTCAAATCCAGCAATGCTTCCATCACATACTAGTCATTACTCACCTGACCATGTAGATCAGTGTTCAGCAGCATGATGGCGCAGGTGAGAGTGTGAACTGCATCTAGAGGATAAATACAGAATGGTTAATGAATTGTGATTACACCGTTTATAAATAATCAGATAAGGACAGTCTGCCCCGTCCCTCACCTCTAGGTCGCTTTAAAGCAGAACTAGAGCTTGTCCTGCCTGCAAGGGCAAGCCCACCCGCTGAGAAGTGTACTAATATTTTAGGTTCACTATGAAACGGTGAAGGCAAGGCAAGGCAAGTTTATTTATATAGCACCTTTCAACACAAGGCAATTCAAAGTGCTTTACAAAGATGAAAGACATTAAGAAAATGGCATTTAAAAACAGTCATTAAAAAGCAAAGATAATAAAAATAAACATTAAAAGAAAAAAATACATGGATAAAAGTTACAGTGCAGTTCCAGATATTTGGAGCATAATAACTGAGCGCTGCTTCTCTATGTTTAGTTCTGACTCTGGGGACAGAAAGTTGACCAGTCCCAGAAGACCTGAGAGTTCTGGATGGTTCATAATTTGGCAGTAGGTTAGAAATGTAATTTGGGCATGTATTTAAAAATACTGCTGCTGGTTTATAAAGCTTTGAATGGTTTAGGCCCAAATTACATTTCTAACCTACTGCCAAATTATGAACCATCCAGAACTCTCAGGTCTTCTGGGACTGGTCAACTTTCTGTCCCCAGAGTCAGAACTAANGGAGAAAGACACAACACATCGCGCAGAAAACCTTGAAGAAGTATCACTGCACCCGCCTGAGGAATGTTCTGATTAAGGGAGACCTATGACACAAATGGAGGAGTCTCCACTGCCCGTCAACCCCCCTGTCAACACCTTTGAGGATACTCTTCATTCATCCCCCAGCTCTCTCTACTCTCCGCTCACCCTTTCACCCTCGCCCTCCCCCCTGGAGTTCAATGACCGCATGAAGGCGATACGCAGGGTTGGCAGAATGTCCTACCCCCGCCCCTCAACGAGGCCCACCAAAATCACCGAAGCAGAGACGCGCACCATCTCCCCCGGCTTCATCACCATGCCTACCACAATAATCCAAACCAAAACAATACAAGGAAGATGGAAGCAGATTTCCAAACCCCCCTTCCTACAGTGTAGACCTCACCCTGCCCTCCTATGATGAGAGGAGCAGGGTGGTGGGTCCTCCCTCCCCTTCAAAGCCTGATAGGGATGTGTGTGTACAAAACGCTGCAAACTGATATTTGCTGGGTCCAGGCTCAAGGGCGTATGGCACTCTCAACTTTTTCCAGGACATGCCAGGGCCCTGCCTGCCTGTAGCTTTGCCGATATCTGTGTTGATAGGTAATAGATTAACAGTTTCCATTTGCCTTGCAACTCTTACTACTTTTAAATCCAGGCTGAAGACTTTTCTTTTTGTCGCTGCTTTTAATTGAACTATTCATATCTTAGACTGCACTGTAACTTTTATCCATGTATTTTTTCTTTTAATGTTTATTTTATTAACTTTTATTTTTAATGACTGATTTTAAATGCAATTTTCTTAATGTCTTTCATTTTTTGTAAAGCACTTTGCATTGCCTTGTGTTGAAAAGTGCTATATAAATAAACTTGCCTTGCCTTGCCTTACCTTTTCAGTAAAAATA